CTGACCTGATAAAAGAAATTACTACTTACGATGTTACGAACATCAGGAGAAGCTCCATTCTGCAGTAGAAGTAAAACGATGTTGAGGTGACCCATGAAAGCAGCTACGTGGATGGGAGTCAGACCAGACTGCAATAATGAAAACAGAGACATGCAGTAACAACAAGGAGAAGCATTAAATGCAAATTTAGAACAATGTTAGCAACAAAGTATACTGTGCTAATCCATGAAATCCTGACACACCAAAACAATCTCACCTCAGTAATTGCCTGTATGGAGGCACCGTATTTGACAAGCAGCTCCATCACCTTCACTCTGTTTTTCTTACAAGCAATGTGGAGAGGAGTAAAACCATTCTGGCAGAGACAATAAGAGAAAAATTAGCAGGAATATGCATGTCTCTATAGTAAAAAGGTAGCATTGGAGTATTTATATTTTATAACCTTATTTTATATTTCAGGAGTTATTAAACTTTTTGGGTCAACTGACCCCTGATAATCTGATTAACCCTATGCTTACTACTGTTAGGACTCCTATATATCATTAAAACTAACTGTATTCTGACCATTTCCAAACCAAAGAGGCGTTTAATTTGAAGGTGAAAAGTCAGAATACGTGTTCACAGTCAGAATCTTTTAACTGTATCTGCCCCTCAAGTCAGATTTCCAATTCAGACCATCAATGCTGACTTCACAATCCAAGTTGGCAGTTTGAAATTCCTCAGGAACATTTTATATGAAAGAATATGGAAATATAAATATATAAATACGCATACTAGTAAATCGCAAGATATTCACGATCCATAGTGTCACTCGTTTTATCTTAATATGTGCATCAGTAAATATCATGATAATTTCTGTTAATACCAGTTTTGGTGCTTCTCTTATTGTTTCTTTATACTCTTACCAGTGCTCTCGCATTGGGATTGGCCTTCTTGTCCAGGAGGAGCTTAGTTACTCTGTAGTGGCCACAGTGAGCTGCGACGTGCAGCGCTGTAAGGTAGTCGAGTGTGACATCATCAACAGGCGCCTTGTGTTGCAGCAGTAGTTTTACACACTCTATGTGGTCTCCCTGGGCTGACATGTGCAGTGGAGACAGTCCATTCTATATGGAGGCAAAAAATTTAAAGAATAGTAGCAGAGATGAAAACCAAAGGCATATAAAAAGGAAAAATAGTACTCATATTGTATAAATTATAAATGATATACTAGTGCAAATATGCTAACCTTGGTTCTAGCTAGGATGGGGGCTCCTCTTTCCAGCAAAAGCTCAACTGCAGGATCATGTCCACTCCTGGCTGCACAGTGCAGGGGCGTCAAACCATCCTTTGGAACAATGACATATGCACAAGCAAACGCACACATTAATCCAGTTTAAAGATTTTGAGAAAGAGGACCTGGAAAGTTGTTGATTCCACTTATTTATTGGTCACTATGGTTTTAATAAAAGCTGAGTCTTACTCTTGTTTTAGCATCTATCTGAGAACCTCGGTCCAATAACAGGGCCACCATGTTGGTGTTACCCCTCTTAGAGGCAACATGTAGAGGTGTTATTCCATTCTGACAAGGCAGATACAGAAACAAAGGTACATCAAAAACTACAGCATGTAAAAGTCTTAGCAAAGTAGTTTAGCTACAAACATACAGGAAGAAATGTAACGTTTAATGGGCTAGAGGTAAATGTATTAATAAAGGCTTATTAGAAGTGAACACTACGATGGTAAATAACATGCCCTTCTGTAATGATCAAAGTCAAAAACAGCCACACAGTAGGAATTTGGCTGTACCCTGGCTGTGAAGTCAACAGCAGCTCCTCTGTTCAGCAACAGGGTGGAGACATTCACGTTACCATAGTGAGCCGCAATGTGCAGAGGGGTGAAACCACTCTGATAGGAAAGGAGAGAATAGAGAGGGACAGAGTGAAAGGAAAAGAGGTTAGAGAGTGCAGAACAGCTCATCACGAAAAGGAAAAAAGTAAAATGAAAGTGAACAAAAGAAAGTAAGAAAGTAAGAAAGAAAGAAAGACTTTTCATTGTTAGATACAGGAATAGACTCTACTGAAGCAGACTCTGCTGAAGTAGTAATACGATGAAAGAGCGTGCTGAAAGAAAAACCTTGTGTAAGAAGGAGCATAAAAATGAGCAAATCCCAAAATAGCACATTCAATAGATAATACATGCAAAACTACTCAAGTTCAACCATGCTTACTAAAAATAACTAAGGGTGAATCAACTTGGTTTTTTGGATACATGAATATATTGAAATAAAGGACAAAACATAACTCATAAGCACCAAGCAACACTATGGACGCTCACAAGTATGTGTTTCTACTTGGGTGGACAAATGAACATTTATATATTAGCTATATATATAAATTTTCATAGTACACAATTGCAGGTCGGTTTACTCCTTACCTTCCCATTCTGATAGACATGGTGCAATTTAATTAAGAAACAAAGTTTACTTAAAGATCAGAGATCAAAGTGTTTCAGAGAAGTAAATCAACATGCACAAGAACACACATGCGCGGAGTTATGCGTAGAAAGATAGGAGTAAAAGAAAAAGCTGATTTTACTTTCAGGTTATCAGTTCAGTATAAATTATGAATAAATTATTCGTAAACATAATACATTTCAATGACTTATCAATTAAAAATAACAACAAAAATCTATAAAATAAATGATCAGTAATTAACTGACATTCTCTGGGGATTATCAATACAACACATTGTGTTTTACTGTCAGCCATGCAGTGTCTAGTACAGCAAACTCCAGCATGCAGGGTATCCCTATGTCACAAAAGTCCTCAATAAGTAAGGACAAGATCAAAACAAAAGAGCTAAAAAAAATGGTTGGAAGTGACAAAATTCAGAATCAAAGGAGGAGGTGATAAGTCTGTATACCTCTGTGGTTCTATTGACCATCATCTGGTTAAGATGCATAGAGAGAGAAAAGGGGAATAGGGTGAAGGGCTGTTAGGGGAAACACTCAGTATTTTTTTTTTTTAATTTAAAAGACTGAGCATGTTTATAAGGTTGCAAAGTTTGAAAATAAAAAATAAGGACCTGTACAATACAGCATTTTCAGAGAGGCCTGGTCTGTCCGTTTTATTATTGTTCCCTAAGGAACCCACAAACAATAAAATGTAACTTGTCCCTGTTGCGCTCCCTCACCTTAGACTGGACATCAGCGTTGTGGTCATTCTGAAGCAGCAGTGCAGCAGACTTTGTGTCGTCTTTGCGGGCAGCAATGTGCAGGGCTGGAAGGCGTACCTTACCCTTAGTGTCATGCTCCAACAACAAGGAGACAACTGAGTTGTGCCCTTGCTGAAGAGCAATAGCAAGTGGAGTAAAGCCATCCTGGAGGAGCACAGGGGAAAAAAAAAAAGTTAAATGGTTACACGCTACATAGAGAAAATGAAAGAAAATAGGCAAGATATTACATATTGTTTTTACCTTCAATAATTGTATATATAACAATATGAAAGAAAAACATACTTCTGTTGCAATGCTTTGATTTCCTTCATTTTCCAAGAGGTATCGCACGACCTCCAAGTGATTCTCCTGAGCCGCCATGTAGAGTGGCGTGAAGCCATTCTGAAGAGATATACAGGCAAAAACAAAACCACATCATATACTTGTTGCTTGTGTTGCATGCTGATGCAAGTTCTTGTTAATTCTCACCTGTGACTGAGAATTGACATCTGCTCCTCTTGACACCAACAATTTGACTACTTCTTTTTGTCCAGCCAAAGAGGCAATATGGAGGGCAGTGTTTCCTTTCTGCAAAGAGAAAACAGGGTTAAGATCACCAACCAAATATCTGTCCTATCTCTTACCTCCCTCATTAATTATATAAAGTCTGAACCCTGAAAATTTCAGAAAATTCAGATTTTTGAAAATGAATGTTTATTGAAATGCTTGACACATATAAAAAAATATACATGAGTTTTAATTTGTATTTATTTTTGTCATTTTTTCCCCTGCGACTTTTTGTGAGTCTCAAAAACTCACAATACTCATATATCAAATATGATACACTTGGTGTTACAGGGCTAAAATCAAATTATGCAAACATTTCATTTCTGCTTTAATGTTTAGGATGTAAAAGTTGGGTTTAATTCTAAGAAACGTATTCAAGTCACTCGAAGGACACAAACAGCAGAGTGATAGATTCTGTGTCAGCTGTTCACTGCTGCTAGCTGTTGAGCCTGAGTCATGAGGCAGTCACAGACTCACATAACAAGCAGCTTGCCAAAAAGCGCACTACACATTCACTCTCGCCTTCTCCTACTCCTTCCGACTGAATGGTACAATATCTAAACTTAGCACAAAAAGTAAGGAAGTGTTTTTGGTTATTTCTTTGTTGTAACAATGCTTCCTGGCAATAACTCTTATACTGTTGGAAAGGGTTGAGCAGCAGAGTTGAGTATACAAAACATATTGGCCATATAATAATAATAATAATAATTTAACAACAGAGGCCCCTGTAACATCTGGAAGAACCTTGCACAGCCACAACAGCCTTGCACCGCCTCCATTGCACCTCACACATTACTGTAGGTTGCCATTCAACAGCAGTGTAGGACAAAGCTGGTATATGCTATAGGAAATTGTTTGATTGTCAATAAGTTTCAATTAGCCAATCCAATAAATGACACAAAGCATAAGTCATTAGTAGAAGAAGCTGTTTGAAGTTTGGCAGAGAGGTTTTCCATGGGCGCAACCCACACACTCAACTCTGCTGCTCAACCCACAAATGCATTTTCCTTACCAATGTGGCACCATTTAATGGAAAAAAATTAAACAGGGCTTCCAACATTTACTGCCAAGAAACATTGTTACAACAAACAAGTAATCAGCCAATCGAAAGTTTCCTGACTCGTTGTGCTAAGTTTATATATGGTACAATTATTAATACTTTATAAAACTGAATGTCTGAAGAAACAAACAATCAAACTCTCATAATCATCTTAAATCACCCTCATATCCACCCCAATGGCTCCTTAATTCACTAAAGAAGGAATGATTTTTATGGTATTTTACAACTTATTTAATTTCATCGCCTTCTTTCTCCTTTGGTTAAAATACTTTTCTTATCTTTTTTCTCTTTTAAAAATTTAGCTTTATCTTTAAAAAGTTATCTTTGCCAATGCAAGCCAAAGAAAAAGCCATTAGATATATAGTGAGCGATTAAAGCAACAATTATATTAACTGAATTATATTAATTAAACTCCCCATAAAGCTAAATCATGTGTGTACCTTGGTGGAAGAGTCAACAGATGCTCCTCTCTGTAGCAGTTCCTCCACCAATTCCTTGTGCCCCTCCTTAGCCGCCAGGTGTAACGCATTGAGACCATTCTAAACAGAAAACAAGAGAAGATTTCAAGAAAACCCATGAAGAAGAAATGAAACTGCATGGTGCTCAGGGAATCATATTACAACATCCCTGTATCAAAGATAAGGCATACCAATATTACAGGACATAAAGCGATATTTACTGGAAATTGGCTCAATAACAATCTAATGCAATCATGTATACTCCTGCAAAAAAGGAAAACTACAGTACAAGTGTGAATTTTTGTAAAATTGGCAACAATAAAAAATCTTGATTAAGTTTATAGTCACTTATGAGGGTATAATCCAACTTGACATTGCATTATACTGTACATGATTTATAGCATTCATTTCATTCACAGTTGGAGAGATTGACATTTAAGAATGGAAACAGAAGAAAAACTATTTGGGTTAAAAAACTGGCTGATTTTTCACAGTTCAATTCGCTCATAACAAAGGCCTCACCTCAGGCTTATCAACAGGAACTATAGCAGCACAAGAGGAGAGCAGACCTCAAATGTTGCACTCCAACACTTACAACACAACTGATTTATCCCCACCCGAAAACTCACAGCACCTCTTCTGACGCTGACATTTACACACAGAAACAAACCCTAAACAAAACAAAAACCATTCACCTCGTCCTCCTTTTCTTCCATCCTGTGCTTTGGATCTTTGAAATGTTGCTCTTTCTTATCTTTCAAAATGCCCGTTCCTTTGGGTATTCTGTGCCTTCATGAATCCTTTGCTCTGTTTTCTTTTGACTTTGGTGATGGAACTCCAACCAGTCCTCCACCTCCTGCTTCCTCTATACTGGTTTAGAACCAGCTTTCTAGGTTTATGTGCTCTGTCCTCTTCCTGCAGGCTAATTCAGATGAATGACATCGAGGAAATGTGCCTCTAAGCTCTGGAGGCTTTTTGGGCACTGATATAAAAGAGGAGCTGTTGCTAACCCCTCTGTCATTGCCTTTTCCCCTCCATAGCACATGTACATCATGCATATACATTCATACACAAATAGAAACACGCCCTCTCTTTCTTTCTCGCGAGTTGCTAAATGCCAAACAGCCAAGGGGGGTGTCATATTTCTGCACAGTCATAGAGGGAACCCAAACACACATCCAAACATAGATAATCATATTTAGAAGCAACTGAAAATGTCAGCCTTTAAAAAAAAAGGGGGGGGGGGGCATTCCTCAAGGCCAAAGTATATCAGTGACTGTCTGGCTGAGTGATTTATAACATGACTTAAAAAAGAGTGAAAAGTGACACATAGTTCGTATCACTATGGTACATCCATAAAACCTAAGAAGGCATAAATGCCTTCAGTTTGTGCAAACGGTTTCTAATGAGCTACGAGTAAAGCGGCACAAATGGCACTAGTCCAGTGTCTGTTATGTGTCCTAATCAAATCTGCAGAGATCCACCGATCGACAGTCTATGACACATTCTCGATCAGTTTCATGTATGTCCAATTATGAGTTGATCACACTGCATCACGCTAAAATACTCACACATGCTCTCACAGCACAGTCGCTTAAAGTGTGAAAGCTCCTCACGGTCTAATCAAGTCTAATCAAACACTTAAATCATCATCACGCAGGTCTGCAAGGTCTGCAACTGACTCATCATAGCAAGCACTCACTTTTGATAAGTAAAGACTTTAAATTTTAATATGTTTTTGCTGATTTTAATCATGATTGATTTTAATTGTCATTATCACTTCCACATAATCACACTGCATATCATGTTTGTCCGGTCGCATGGCCAAAGCTTCTAATATCATCATCACTTCAGTATATTTTAAATCAGTATGCAGTTAGTCCATCTGTGACTTTTTCCACTGAACTGGCAACGAATGAAAAGAGAAAAAAAATAGTCTAGGCTATATCAGATGCTCTTTGCTGACATTTGAGAAGCAGAAAGTCCAGCCTCAGTTATACTTCAGTTCTGAAATGATAGACTCACTGACACAGCAAAAATAATGATACTTTCAGCCACATTTCAGCCATTATGTATTTCAGGAGAGACAAGAAAACCCTACAACACACACACACAGTCACACAAACTGATCTAAATCTCCTTTCCCTCTGAGCTCAGTTGTTCCTAAAAGCTTCATTTAGCTAATGGACATCGTGATCCCTGGCACTTTGTTGCTTCCCCTAGCAGGAGACAAAATGTTGAGCTTCATCCAGCGCAGATTGTCATTCAAGCTGCTTTGACCGCTGACCTTTGTTATAAGCACACATGGTATAAACAACCATGCTTACTTGGTGCCGTTTTATTGTCTCAAATGTCACAGGGGAAAGATGTTGGAGGAAATAATGTAAATGTCATAAATGTCACAGTGGGATAGATTTTGGAGCAAATAATATAAATGCATGCGGATTAAAGTAAAGAGTAATATTACTCACCAAGGATTAAAATTTTAAGTAGATTAGAAGGGAAATCTGGCCTTTAATTGTGAAGAGCGAAACAGTTCTTATACACACTCTTAACACGCAAATACAAGCACATAGGCATATTGTATTAAAATGTAAAATAAGCTGTAGTGACTCATTCTCTTTTGAAATCCTAAAACTCAAACACACCATGCTTAAAAACTGGAAGAACAAACATCATCTGTAAAAAACATTACATCTTTATTTATACATCTCATTCATACAATCTGTGCAATGGAGAATCATAGTATGACAGTGGCTTTGGCAAGCTAGGAATATACCTCTCACTCTCTCTTCTACTAACTTGGGCAGCCTTCTGCCCTTGGCGCCAGTTTCTGGCCCTTGCCACTCTCTTCGTGCTTTCTAGGTTTTTACTCTTCAGTTATTAATGAATATAGCACCAAGGGCGATACTCAAAATATGTGCATGACTTAGTGTGTGACATTTGCAGATTCTTTTGGTGTTTTGTGGATGGATAGACTTTTTAAAGAAACCATGAATAACATTAAACATGATAAAATGCTAAGATACAGTTTCTGTATTTGATTACATTGTGAACAGTAATCGGAAACACATTAAAACAAGCAAAAGGAAATTGGGTTATTCAACTGCAATGTCACATTATCTGTCTCTTGTCAATAGACTACTAACTCTAATGACTCATTATTTGACATTATTTCAGATAATGGCTTTGTGATAATGATGCTTTTCCGTGATTCGTTCAAGTCTTTGGAGAAAATTTGCATTTATGCACAGAATTATTGTGATTTTTTTTTTATTTTTTTTATCTTACTGCAGTAATCAAAAGCATTAATCCTGGGCTCATTCCATCACTTCCAGTACGGTCATGTCACTGCCTGTTGTGCTTTGACTTAACAAAATCATTGTAGAGACATCACTCATCAGCTGCCATACACATTCAGCAGAAATTAAGACCAGTAATGTGTGCTTTAACTTAACCATACTGTCAATGTCTTTCCTCTTAAAATTTGTGAGTAAAAAGGTAAAGACACAACAGACTTCCCTGCCTGTCACCACAGCATATATCTGTAGATGGAAAAAGCGTAGAAATGATCTGTGAATCGGTGAATGTATGATTATGTATTTAAGCACGTGCAATCAGAATTAGAGACAAATACACACATGGGAAGATGCACACATTATTTTATATTATTTTAAATTTGGCTATTGAAAACACTAAGAGAAAAAAAAGTAATGCATTTATGTGCATGTTATAACTTTAATTTGGTTGACTTACACATCACTGGAATAAAATACAGTCTATAGCTTATGTTCATATGTGCTGGGAGATATTTAATAAGCTTAGGTCCAAAATTACATTCACTGCACAGTATACTGGCCTCTACACACACAATAATGAGGGAATAACTGGGATATGTATAAAAATGTCCCTTACATTTTTTGGTCACTTGACAAGGTCTCAAATTTGATCATCTGACCACCGAGAAATCCTATTAGGGCAAGGCTCTCCTGTTGCAGGACAGGAGGTGTGTGTGTGCCTACGTACATGTCTGTGTGTATGTGTATGTGAAGATTAGAGTGTGCACAGCTTTCTATATTCAGGCTTCCCTCTCGGGGCACAAAACAGAACCCATGGTGCCCATGATAACAAACAGCAGAGCTACGGGTTGGCTTTTTATAGCTGCAAACCAGCTATAACAGTCAAGCAATGACACAGTAAAAAATAATGATATGCATGCACACACACACACAACACATACGCTCACGTAGCCTCACTCCTTTAGGCTGTCTTGTGACTGCTGTAAATCACATTGACGTAGACAGGAGAGAGGAGTAGGGGGAAATATTTTAACCTCTCCAATCCCTCCCCTTCGGTGGAATGTGGGACAGGGCGAGTATGGGGAGGTGACGAGAACAGCTGTCAGGGAGACATAGACCTTTTCAAAAGCTGCTGAGATTGGGGGGAAGAATGGGTGTGGTGGGGGGAAAGGGAGTAATTGTAGCTATGAGGGTAGCTGTGAGTATGCAAAGGGATATGGCAGGTTAAGGTACTCGCTGTGTGATGCCATCATGACACGGCAGGGCGAAGGTTAGCTTGAGCAGGTTTGACAGTAGCTTGCATTGAAGCACTAAACAGCAGATTTTAGATATTATTTCACACAACTGCTATATCAGTTCTGGAAAGTTGTAATAAATATTTAGATTAACAAAAAAAATGAAAAACTTAAAAAGTATTATTTAAAATTAAAAACACAAAGATGGAGTTTTGAAAAATAGAACTCCATAAAACCTGAAAATTTGTCACAGTTTTTATGTTTATCACCCCTCTTCAAATTAATGTAACTGCATACAAGAATTCAAACAAAATCCGATGTTGTTTAAGTTTTCTTACCTGGTTACATGTGTTGATGTCAACCCCGTTCTTCAGGAATTCAAGGACTTTGTCAATGTTTCCAGCTCTGGCAGCCCGGAGGAAACTGGTGTTACTGTCCGACTACAGAGATAAAACAGAAATTAGGGTAATATTAATAACAGGTAAATAAGCAAATGTTTATAATTTCTTTTGTTACTGTGTCATTCTGATAAAAGTGCCACATGTATGCAATATTACAGTAACAACATTAAAGGCCACATTTAGGGATGGGTACCGGTATCCGGTGCCATGATGGCACCGCACACATGTGCAGCGCACATTTCGGTGCTTTATTTCGGTGCTTTTTTTTCTTGAGCTGTCATACACTTTCTTCTTCCTTACATTTGTATTGGCGGTTGGCAAACTACTGAAAGGTGCATTACCGCCACCAACTGGTATGGAATGATACACTATGGATTCCAGCCAATCATTTTAGTTTCCGAGGATAGTAGGCAGGCCCAG